GGGGGGGACAGTACAGGCCAGCCAGGCCCAGCCGATTGCCCCCTGCCCGGCGGGCGGGCCTGCGTGTTTGGAGCGGCCGAGTATGCTCGCCTGGGCGCTCACACACACACACACAGAGGATAAGTGCGATCTGCCTGGCACCCTGTGGGTGCGCCCATCCCCCAATTGTCACCCACTTTGGAGCTGTTTCCCACCCCAGCTCCATCCGCCCATCCATCTTCCTCGCCCCCTCCTTCGCCGGTCTACCACGTCCCGCCCCCCCTCCCTCCCCATGAGCGGGTCCGTGCTCTCGCCCGCCGACCACGCCAATCCATCACCTCTGTGCCCTGGCCGGTTCCCCCCCCCGTCCTCCGCTGACCTTGTTGCCCCTTCACACCTTTCTTCGCCCTGCCGGCCGCTCGTCTGTCCACTCACCGATGTAGCTCCGGACCGCTGCGGGCCACCAAGGCCAAAGCGGCTGTTGGCCAAGCCACAGCGCGCAGCCCGTCGGCATCCCCCCGAATGGGGGTTCTTGGCGCCGGCGGCGGCGCCACTCGGCGGCCCACCTCACTGGGCAGCCCTGCCCGGGTCGGCAATTCCCGGAGTTCCCCCACGGCCGATCCCCACGAGCGGGTGGCCCGTGCGCTGGAATGTCGTGGCGATCGGTCCGAGTGCGTTTCCCTCCTGCTGCCTGGAGGTCAAGCAGGTTGACCGCCCTGTGCTCCCGCGGGGTCTTGCTCACAGGCCGCTGTTCTGCCCCCTGCTTCTCCCTCTCCTATCCACTCCCTCCCGTGGGCCGATTCATCGGTCGGGCCTTGGGGTCCCGCTCCGGGCGCATGATTCCCCCTGCCACAGAATCAAGGCCCGCCTCCATCAGCACCTCTTGTCGTCCGGGTGGATTGAGGCCCTCTGGCAGCGCGCCGAGGAAACCATGGAGACCAGCTTCCAGCAGTACCTGGCCGAGGGTGGCAGCCCTGGCGGGCCGGATGCCCGGGCGCCGGACGCCCGTGGGCAGATCTCCGCCAGCCGCCTCATCTCGGCTATCCTCGGGCCGAGCCGCGGTGCGAACAGGCCTGCCGATGGACTCTCGCCTACCTGCTGGCCTCGGTGCTCTGCGTCAGTCTAACCCTCTGCTGAACCCCGTCCAGAATCCGTTCCTATCCCGGTCCTCCGGGCGATGCTCATCATGATTCGCGACCGGATAGTGGCCCTGGAGCAATCGCTCCTGGCCGAGCCCGAGTCAGCCCTGCCCGCGACATCGGCGGCCGGCTCTGTGGCTGGATCGGCTGCTGCTGCGGCGGGACCGGCGCCGGCCGCGGCCGCGGCCGCCGCCGTGACGGCACCAGGTGCCGCCCCACGAGCAAAGCCCTCCTCGGCCGGAAGCCCGTTGCTCCCGCTGAAAACCGCACCTGGGCGCTCCGGGAAACACTCCGGCTCGGGCGGTCGGTGATCGGGCTTCGGCCCCCTCGCGCCTCCGGTCTGCCGGTGCCCGGTAAATGAATGACCCCCTTCCCCCCCTGCCCGCCCGCCCGCTCCTCTGGATTTGTAGGCTCCTTCCTCTGCCCCCTCTTGACCAATGTGCAAGTGCACGCGCTGTATATTGGGACGTGTCCCGCCCAGCTGGCGCAGGGCGGCCCGTGAACAAGGACAAAATGGGGATGTGGTCGGGAGGAAAAAAGCACACATGGAGGGGGATGGCGAGGAGTCAAGAGGGAGAGAGAGAAAGAGAGAGGGGACAAAACGCCAAGCACGGCAAAAAGCAGGCGGCAAGGGCCCCCGGACACAGCAGCGGCCGGGCCCGGGTCCAGGGTGACAGGCCCCCGGGATCGAGTTATATCCGAACGTCGACGAGGCCGATGGCGCCGAAGGAGAGGGCTGCCGCGATGCGGCTCCCACTGGAGTCCCAGGCCACATCATACACCAGGCCCTGGAGGTCGGCGGCATGCGGCGGCACCGGCGAGGCCAGGCCCGGTGGGGCGCCATCCGTCGGGGGATTGGCGGCCGGAGCGGCGGCCGTCGGGTTTGCCGGGCCGGCCGCCAGATCCGGCTCCGGCTTGTCGGCGGCAGGGGCCGAGGCCGCGTCCGCCGGCGGGCTGACAATGGTCTCGGCCCACACCGGTCCGAAGATCCCGGTCCATGAGGCCACCTCGCGGACCAGGTGCGTCCGGACCGACACCCGATCAGCGGTCTCCGGGGCCAGGTACAGCGGGACGGCAGGGTGCTCCGGCGACCGGACCACCAGCGGCCGAGCCGCGGTGCTCTCATCCGCCGGGGCGGCGTCCGTGCCGGAGCGCTGCTCATCGGCCGACACGGCCACCACCGCATACCGGAGGGACCACACCCGCAGGACGCCATTCAGTGACCCGGCCGCCAGCAGCGATCCGCAGGGAGAAAAAGAAAGAGAATAGACCACATGCGCGTCGGGGGCGGCGCCTTCGGCGGCCGCGGCCACGGCAAAGTCGTCCAGCACCGCGATGCACTCGCCGCTGGCCAGGTCCCACACGCGCACGGTCCCATCGATGGAGCTCGACGCCATGAGCCGGACACCGGACGCCGGGCCGCCCCAAGGGCTCTCGGACTTCAGCAGCAGCGACAGGGAGTCGGCTTCCAGGCCCGTTGGGGGCCCGGGGCCCGGGGCGGGTGTCGGGCCGGGGGCCGCGTCGGTCTTGCTCTCCGTGGCCGGAGCCACGCTCGAGCGCGTGTCGGACCGGCTTGGCGCCGAGGAGACGGCCATCGGCAAGAAGCGCAGCCCGGTCCCGGGCGGAGCCCAGGCGATGGCGCACACAGGCCCGGCGTGGCCGCGCAAGTCGCGCAGCGGGCCGGTCGCCGCCGAAAGCCGCGGGTCCCAGATCTGCAGAGCGTTCGGCGTGGGCAAGTGGTGAGTGTGCGGTGCGGGGTGTTTTTTCTTCTTCTTCTTTCAAGCGGGGGGAGGGGGAAAAAAAAGGAGGAAGAAAAGAAGGCCCAGTGCCAAAGGAGAGGAGGGGGAGGGGCAGGTGTACTTTGATCGTGGCGTCATCCGAGCAGGTGGCCAACAGGGTGACGCCCTGGTCGATGCCATCGTCGCCATCGGGGCCGCCGGTTCCAACGCAGAGAGCGTGCTCCGGTGACCCGGGCGCCGGGGCGATGTCCCCATTGTGCAGGACGTCCGGCGCGTAGAAGCCACTGAAGCGGCCGGGCGACCAGCGGAGCGCATTGACCTCGTCCGTATGTGAAGTGAAGTTCCGCAGGGGAGGCGGCAGGGTGAGGGGGCTGGCGCTGGATTCGGGCCCGGACGGCAGCCCGGCCAGGCTGTGTACCGCCACCCAGCCATCCATGCCGCACGTGGCGAAGACGCTGTGATCGCGCCAAGCGATGTCCAGGACCGGGGCTACGGCCGGGAGGGTGGGGCAGAAGTAGGCGCGGCGGCGGGGGGGGGGAGGGGGGGGGGGGGGGACAATGAGCCACGGAGCACGACGCAGGCACAAAGGAGGGGAAGCACGGGAGAAAGGGGCAGAGCCGGGCAAAAAAAAAAAAGAGCCCCTTGCCTGGCGGAGGCCCACGCCGCGGGCTGCCATCGAGCAGCCCACTTCTCACGGGGCAGCACGCACCGGCATGATGGGAGGTCTGGGCCCAGTGGATGGGGGCCGCGGTGAAGGGTTGGATTTCGTCCTGCTTGACAGTCAGCCCGTCAGGGCCTCCCTTCTCCTCCAGCAGGAAGGGATACTGGCCATTTGGTTTGACCAGCCACAGGTCGATGCGCCCGGAGAGGGAGGTGCTCAGCAGGCAGCGAGTATCGGACTCGGGCTCAGGCCCGGCCAGGGCTCGAAGGGCCGGGCTCCAGCTGACCGAGAGCAGGGGAGCTGCCCGGGTGGGATCGGATGGCTGCAGCGTGGCCAGGAGCTGGCCCCGGATGGACCAAAGCCGCGCACTGCCATCGTATGCCCCGGTGGCCAGCATAATGCCGTCCGTCTGGGGGGCCGGGGAGCGAGGCCGGGGAGCGAGGCCGGGGGGGAGTGGGGGGGGGGGGGGGGAAATGGGCCATTGGCGTGTCAGTCGCACGGCAGGCGATCGATCACCCCTCCCTCGCGGGGGAACACATGTCAAGGCAGCAGGGGCGGGCGGGCGGGCGGGCAAAAGGGGCCACAAGGACGGACACTCCAGTCGACGCAGGGGACATCCCGCCTGGGGAAGGTGGTTGGCGTCCGGATCAGGGCCGAGTGGTCCAGCACAACGGAGGACAGGGATTCCAGGAGGGAGGTTCCGGGAGTGGCCGTTGCGGCGGCCAGATTGGGGGGACTGAGCGGCTCGGCGGGGAGTTGCCAGATCCGGGCCGTGCCGTCGCCAGAGCCGGAGGCCAGGAGATTGGCGTTGGCCGGGTTCCAAGCACACGAGAAAACCTGAACGCGTGGGTGGGGTGGGGTGGGGGGTGAGGGCGGGGGAGGGGGAGGGAGGGAGGGGGCGGGCAGACGGACAGGGAGGGGGCGGGCAGACGGACAGGGAGGCGTCCGGGGGCCGTGAGCGTACCTCACCCGAATGCCCATAGAGCATGACGGCTTTGGAGGGGCCGGCCGCGGGCCGGGCCTTTCGCCGGCGTTTGACCCGCTGCTGCAGGCGCGCGATCCCCGGCGAGGGCATGTCACAGTATGCCGCATGGTGGAAGGCGCGCGAGGCTGACCGCCCCCGGCGGCGAACCGGCGCCGCACTGCAGTGGTGCGGCTGCGTGGCCGTGATTAATGACGGGATGTCGCGGCAGGAGATCTCCTTGCCGTCCTGTACAGGGGGTCGTGCCGGGCGGGAGAGGGAAGAGGCGAGGGTCAGGAACGAAGAGCATGGCCATATATGCCTATCCAGGTGTGTGCGCTCATGTCGAGCGAGCGAGCGAGCGAGCGAGAGGGAGAGAGAGACCGCTGGGGAGGAGTGGGCCCGGCGGCCGGCCCGAGGACGCACCTCACGAACATGCCACTCGATCTCCACATATTGGAGGCCCTTCTGCAGGAGGGCAATCAACGCGCCGGGGGGGATGTTCAAGGCGGGCGGCACGTCGCCGTCATCGGCCGACGGCTCGGTCAGGATGTCCGCCTGGAAGAGGAGGCTCTCATTGCTGAAGACGAACGACGAGTGGGAAAAGCCTGGAGGCGAGCCAAGGGGCCGGCAAATCCCACGATGTGCATTGGGGAGGGACATGTGTCAGAGCCGGACCATCATCAAGCCCCCTCTCTGCCAGCCCACTCCATCCCCGCTGGAGGGGGGGGGGGGGGAATGATGAGCACGCACCGGACTCCTGCAGATAGCGGTAGATCAGGAGGTTCACCTCGTCACTGGTGAAGGACATGGCAGCGAGGAGGGGAGCGCACAGCGGCGGCGGCGGCAGCGGCGGCCGGGGCAGCAGGCGCGATATGTGGGCACGAGCAGGCGGAGAAGGGCGCGAGCGCGCGGCGGTCTCTCACTCGGTCTCGGTGGGCAGCGGAGCGCGGACGCGAGGGAGCGGGGGATTGGGGGAGGAGGGCGGGGGGGGGGGAGGAGAAGCTGCGGGCGTGGGCGTGGGCGTGGGCGTGATAGAGAAGCGCTCGGGGCAGGGAGGGGAAGCCTGGGAGCAGGCACGGCGGAAACGCGGCGGGGGGAGAGGGAGGGAGGGGGGGGGGGGGAATGATGAGCACGCACCGG